CTTCACTGTAGGTACGATTTCCATGCGGAATATTGAATAAGGATTAAATTAACTGAAAATCTTAACAAAACAACCAGATCAAGCATTGATCTCGATATCCACAATACAAAAGTTCCCAGCTACGGCCATATAACAACAAAACAATAAACCCAAACTATTACAAACAAGATTCTAGAAGATAATTAAAACTTCCTGCTACAGTTAATTGCCTTCCTTAATAGGTTATTAATTTGCAACTTTTCAAGAAGAACAAAAATTGTCCGTTAAAGCAATTTTACAATATTACATGATTAGATAATAGTAATTAGTGATGTGCAGTTTCAGATATTATTTTAATTTGCAACTTTTCAAGAAGAACAAAAATTGTCCGTTAAAGCAATTTTACAATATTACATGATTAGAGAATAGTAATTAGTGATGTGCAGTTTCAGATATTATCAATAGGGAAATTACATAAAACAATTAAATATATTAGTTAGACATTTTTTTAACCCTTTCACGATGAAGGGTCAACCCCCCCCCCCCCCCCCCCCCCACTCCCTCTGGTTTTATTAATTCAGATAACCCAACAACTGATTAAGATATAATGCATAAACTTTTTCCAAATCATGATTGCAAATAAAATTTGCAACAACAAAAACTGTTGTTATCAACTATGTCAAAAATTGTCCATAATCATGATTGCGAACAAATAAACATTTTTCCGACGCACTTTTTGATTTATTTTTAAAACCTCCCTAGCCCCCTAACTATTAAAGTTACAGGTCTAGGTTATTAATGAGCTGACCTTGAAAAAAAGGACATTGGAAATATATCACACTACCCCATCTCAACTAAGGGTAAAATCATAGGGGGAAAACATCCCCCCCCCCATTATCCATATTAAATCAAAAGAGCCCAATCGGGATATGGTTAACTAAATAGAGAATATTAAATTTACTTTTAATTCAAAAATACCAAAAATATTATCAAAAAAGCAAAAGCAAATTTTTCAAAATTAATTTTTGTAAAATGATGAAACTAAAAGTTGTTTATTATTGAACTCTTTATTGGAGTTTTTACTTTGACCTTGTTTCAACCAATATTATTGTTTTACAATAAAACCAATAGAAAATTATCAAATTTATGCTCGAATGAAAATTCTTTTGAAAAAACTAATCAATGATTTTTTTTTTAAGAATATATGTTTTTTTAAATCATTATTTTCTAAGATGTTCAAAAATGAGTTAGGCCGACCATTGAATATTCTTTTCGCTATTTACGCATTTTATAAAAATCTAAGCGCCCTGGAAACCTTGTTTTTTTTAATCGACCATTCAATTTATTTTTTGTTATTATATTTAATGTTAAGATTTAAAAAGTTAACCTACAAGTGTACCACACTGCATTGATGTAGAAATAATGCGAATTTAACTGAACTAGACCGTCAAACATTGTTGGTACGACTTTGTGACCTTGTAGCTCCTGTGTTATGCGAAAACTCTTGATAATTCAAACTTTGACAATCATTATATTTGATCTAGCAGATTTATTAGTTTGAAATATAAAGTTGCTATAGGATAGATGTTTTATAAAATTAGAGATGGTGGCGTGTAATTAGTTGCAAATGTAGCAAGAATAAATATCTTTTTTTTTATCTCCAAACAATTGGTATATGTACCTAATTTTAAACATTTTTTTAAACATAATTTAATTGAAGATTTTTATAAGCAGAACTATTGGAGCACCTAAAATTTTACAAATCGTTTCCTTGCTGAATGTTTTCTCAGAACGTTTCCTGCCACCAAACGTTTCCTGATTTCAAACGTTTACTGCTACATAACGTTTCTTGATATAACACTTTCCTGTTACAAACCGTTTCCCTACAAAAGGATGTCAAAAATCGACATGAATAAAAAAGATGCTTAAAAATGCCAGTTTTGTGTAAAACCGACTTTATTTTTTAACAGCAAAATCAAATCTACAATTTTTATTTCTAAAAGTTGTTAGTTTCATCGTAATTAGTTACATCCTATGAATTTTATTGATAATGATTAATCTGTACATAATATTGTTATTATTATTATCATCATCATATTCATGTAATGTGTAAGTCTTGTAAACCACTCTGTAACATATTATAGTCGAAAATTGGAATTATTATTATTATTATTATTATTATTATTAATAGAATTACTATTTTTTATTATTATTATTACAATCATCATCATTACTTTTTAAAAATTTCCATCCCAAGAAATTGAACAATTTAATTTTCTCATAAACTTTATTTTTATAACTATTGATTTTGAGTTCATATTTTACAGATATGAATTTTTTATAAATTCTGAATATCACAAGTTAACAAGAAATGATTCATTTTAACATTTTAGACATTTTAAACATAATATTTTATTATATTTTATCGTACTCAAACGGTTTACTATAATTGTACATAAAAAAATTCAGTGGCGCAGGAAAGAAAAGAAAAAAAATTTAAATGTTGTAATTGTCCATATATACTTTAATTATAATCAAAATACTTTTTAAGATATTTGAACTGTCTTTAATATATTAAAACAGACGAAAATACAATTTTTTCAGTAAATTTTGGTTACACTGAAGGGTTTTCGAATGGGATTATCTAAAGATCAAAACGAAAAAAAAACTTCTGGACTTTCTAGGGGGTCGGCCAATACTTTACAAAACTTGACCCCCCTAAATCAAAAAACTTCTGCACTTTTGCCGAAGTAGACATTGTTCATAGGATATGAAAAATGAAAATAGATTTTATGTACAATAGGTGGCAACGGGAGAACACGTATGCATTCATAAAAGTTCATGTCAAAAACTTTGATTTTTTAACCCTATATATATATATATATTTCTGTTAGATCAAATAGTTTAAGTTTGAGATTTTACATGTTGCATGTACGGCTTAGAAAATATGAGTTTGTGGCAAAAACTCAGTTCCTTTAGAATAAATGCTTTTACAGTTTACAGTTCGATATAACACTGCATGTTATATTTCAAGACCTCCACTGCTTTTAAAAACGGGATGTAACTGTTTGACGGTATTAATGACGTCATGCATAATTTATCTAAAATCTCATTGTCACCTATGTACTTAATAATCTATTTGAGAAAATCTATAAAACGTGTATAGCTATAAAATATGAATATGATTTCAAATCGTAAAAATATCAATTTTGACAAAGTTCTTTATTTTTAGTCAGAGTTAAAGGGAGGGACGGGAAAAAGGAAAAGGGGTATCAGCTGATTTAAAATTTTAATTGAATTATTTACAACCTGAATGATGCAACTCCTTGAATTTGGTCCTACGTTCTTCGTTTTGAGTCGTTTATAACCATGTTCTCCTTATATTTGCGCTTGTACAACAGATGAAAGTAAAATTAGTAGTTCAAAATGGCTGACATTCTGGATTTAATCAGTTTAAAATAAGAGAGGTTGGGGTATGTAATTTTACCATAATGTGAGCAGGGTTGGGTTAAAAAGTTGTTTTATGTATCATCACACCACACCAGTATTTCAAGGCTTTTAATGTTTAGATCTAAAGAAGATTAACTACAGCTGTCAGTTTACAGATAGAACTTAATAAATACAAACTTCAACAGTTCAACTGTACAGTTTGTACATTGTAGATGTAGAGTACAGATGTAGTTTACAGATATAATCTAACAAATACAAACTTGATCTCTTCATCTGTACAGTTTGTACACTGTACACTGTACAGTAGAGTACATCTGTATTTTACAGATATAACTTAATAAATACAAACTTATCTCTATCACTTTACAGTTTTTTTACTGTACAGTTTGTCCACTGTATAGTCTGTTCACTGTACAGTTTTTTCAGTGCACAGTAAAGTATAGCTGTCAGTTTACAGACAGAATCATGAAAATATAATTTTTAACACTTCAATTGTTTAGTTTGTACACTGTACTGCAGTAGAGTACAGCTGTCAGTTTACAGACAGAACTTAACAAATATAAACTTGAACACGTTATCTATACAATTTGTACACTGTACAGCAAGTACAGCTGTCAGTTTACAGATAGAACTTGATAAATGCAAACCAGAATATTTCTATTGTAGAGTTTGTTTACTGTACAGCACAGTACAGCTGTAGTATACAGATAGAATTTAGTAAATACCAATTAAAAGCTTATTTTATAATTGTTTAGAAGTTCTAGAACAATGTCAAAGCGATGTTTTATGATTTGAAATTTAAAAACTGTATTTACTCATTTTATAAAAAAGTGTACTACCTGAGTATATTCAAGGAAAATAAAATTTACCTGTTTGTTTAAAAAAGTTGTTTCTTTTTTTTTAAACAACGAAACCTGCTCAGGCTTAAAGAGTGACACTATTCACAGTTGATAAAAAGAATAATATTGTTTCTTAAAAAATTCACAGAAATTCTTCAGAAAATCTGCAATTTTACTTTTTTATTAAAAACAACCCCCTCGATTACGCTAGACTTGTGAATGTTAACTTTTTACATCCAGTTATATAGGATTGTTTTAGTAATTTCAAGTAACCCTCCATTTTAAGATGGGAATTCCCGATTCAAAACGGCACCCTGGAAACCTCATCAATAATAAGGAATATAACGTCCTTTTTCTAGTTTAATAAGTCTTTTATTCTGATAGTTTCTCCATTGAATCTGAAGCAAGAAATGCGCAAGTGTGCACTTTTGCAGAGAAATGAAAATAAACAGTTTACAAAAACAAAAATCAGATATCTAAAACATACTTTATCAGATAAAGCTTTGAAGGGTACCGTTGTGATTCACACATGCCTATAGAGGGTCACATATTAAATTTCACCAACGTTGTCTTACAAAAAAGTAACTCAGAAATCTAAAACATACTTTATCAGACAAAGCTTTGAAGGGTACCGTTGTGATTCACACATGCCTATAGAGGGTCATATATTAAATTTCACCAACGTTATCTTACAAAAAAGTAACCATGAAAATAAATGAAAAGTTTCCTAAATCCAATTTTTGTGAAAATATATTAAATTTCATTAATTGGTGAGTGCTTTTCTTTCCAGATTTGTGGTTCTGTTCTAAAAATTTTTACATTTTCAAATTAAGACCTAATATTACTTCACAATAACTTAATGTTATTAACATTTTTCTTCAAAATCAACGACCTCATTGAGAACAGTGTTTTTCCAAAACAAAATGGCTGATTTTGGTTGTTAACAACTTTATAATCACATCACATATAACTGGCATATCTACAGGGTGCATTTTCTTTATTTTCTTATTCTGGTCCGTAAACAGGATCTCTGGGGCTGAAAAATAAAAACTATTATTAGTTAACAATTATCTTCTTCCTTTTGTATTTAAATAAAAAGAATTCTACTAATGTTCAGAAGGAATTGCATTGAATTTGAAATTTGACTTTTATAAAAATATTTTTAGAAATCTGCATTTCAGAAGGAATAACAGACAAGAAATGAAAGAAAAACTTAAATTCAATTTTCCAATGGAGGTTGATATTCTTAGATCACGTAGCAATCTAACATTTACATTTTGTGATCTTCAATTTTCTGTCAGTAGCTTTTATTTGTTCATGCTTTTCCAATTTTTCGGTTTAAAAAAAATTCAACCAGTTTTTTAGTTTAAAATCGTTTCCTTAACATTATTACATTTCAAAATTTCGTTTTTGTTACAAAAATACAATAATAAATTCATTTTTGTTTTAACTGCAATGATCTTTGGGCAGTGAGCAATTTCTAATACAAATTTCCAAATAGCAAAGAGTTGATTTTTGTTTAAGTTGATTGTGTATGTATATAGGTGTAGTTGATTGTGTATGTATATAGGTGTAGTTGATTGTGTATGTATATAGGTGTAGTTGATTGTGTATGTATATAGGTGTAGTTGATTGTGTATGTATATAGGTGTAGTTGATTGTGTATGTATATAGGTGTAGTTGATTGTGTATGTATATAGGTGTAGTTGATTGTGTATGTATATAGGTGTAGTTGATTGTGTATGTATATAGGTGTAGTTGATTGTGTATGTATATAGGTGTAGTTGATTGTGTATGTATATAGGTGTAGTTGATTGTGTATGTATATAGGTGTAGTTGATTGTGTATGTATATAGGTGTAGTTGATTGTGTATGTATATAGGTGTAGTTGATTGTGTATGTATATAGGTGTAGTTGATTGTGTATGTATATAGGTGTAGTTGATTGTGTATGTATATAGGTGTAGTTGATTGTGTATGTATATAGGTGTAGTTGATTGTGTATGTATATAGGTGTAGTTGATTGTGTATGTATATAGGTGTAGTTGATTGTGTATGTATATAGGTGTAGTTGATTGTGTATGTATATAGGTGTAGTTGATTGTGTATGTATATAGGTGTAGTTGATTGTGTATGTATATAGGTGTAGTTGATTGTGTATGTATATAGGTGTNGCCCTCTAGTCATAGATATAGCCCTCTAGTCATGGATATAGCCCTCTAGTAATAGATATAGCCCTCTAGTCATAGACATAGCCCTCTAATCATGGATATAGCCCTCTAGTCATAGATATAGCCCTCTAGTCATAGACATAGCCCTCTAATCATGGATATAGCCCTCTAGTCATAGATATAGCCCTCTAGTCATAGATAGCCCTCAAGTCATATACATAGTCCTTTTGTCCAATAGTCCTTTAGTCTTTTAGTCCTATAGTCCTTTAGTCCTATTTTCCTGTAGTCCTATAGTCCTTTATTCCTATAGTACTTTAGTCCTATAGTACTTTAGTCCTATAGTCCTTTAGTCCTAAAGTCCTTTAGTCCTATAGTCCTTTAGTCCTATAGTCCTTTAGTCCTATAGTGCTTTTTAGTCCTTATTCTTAAAGTCCTATAGTCCTTTAGTCCTATGGTCTTTTAGTCTTATAGACTATAGTCCTTTAGTCCTATAAAGTATTTTATTCCTATAGCCCTTTAGTCCTATTTAGTCTTTTAGTCCTATAGTACTTTAGTCCTTTGACTTCTTAGTCCTTATTCCTAAAGTCCTATAGTCCAATTTATTTTATAATCTTCATTAACTTTAAATACAATTCTGCTTTTTTTCAAGAATTTTACAAGTAATATCAGCTTCATAAATATCTTTGCTTAATTTGAATCCATCAAAAATATATTCAACCCCTCTTGTTCTAACGTGTTTGAAATTATAACAATATGCTTTAATACAATAAATTTAACATTTCTTATTTAAATTGAAACATTAAAGACTAAGAAAAAGAATTGCAAAAAATGCCGAAAAAAATATTGAAAATGAACCAGATTACAGTGAAAATAATATTTTACTCCGCCTTTATCACTATACAATAAAACCCACAATATCTTTGGCCAGAGTGGACTGTGGATTAAGGTATAGTGCGCACCGAAAGCTTAGTTTAGGGTGATACCAAATACGAATCTTTAAAATATTTCAATTTATCAATCTAAGAACGGGTCAGAGAAAAAAGAGATTTTAAAAACCTCATCTTTGATCATATTAATATGAACAAAAAAATCGATTTAATATTTCTATCGAAACTAAAAAAAATGACATAAAATATGAAATGGCATGTATTGCTCTTGATTTGATATATTTATATTTCCATCCCCCCCCCTTTGGGGGAACAAGATCCGAACTTAAACTATTGCCATTCAAACAAATGATCCAAGTTAAAGCCTAAGGATTCCACGATATTCAGCAGAGAATTAAAATAAACTAAACTATTTAGATTGCGAGATATATCAATATAAAAAAGGAATTGATTCTTTGCCACAAACTATGATTTTCTAATCCATTGTTGTATATATTTCAAACTATTGATTCTATTTGAATTAATTGTCTAAGTTTGAAAATATGAAAGGTGTTTACGATTAGGTTGTAAAGATTATGGATTAGATAATTGGAGTTTGTGAAAAAGACTAAATTCCTTGTAATAGAAATGGATACAAAATGAAAATCCTTAAAGAAGCTGATTTCTTGCCTCAAACTCTTAATATCAGCAATATTCTATCTTTACAACTTTATTGTGTTAACCAGAAATTGATAAACAGGCAACTCTGGAATAGGAAGTGGACTTTTAACTTAGGTTATGACTTAAAATAGTCCAATGAACAATTGTAACAACATCAAATGCACTTCATTATTGCTTGTATTCTACTGGTTTCTGGTTATCACTTTAGATTTGTATGATACTATTAAACTTTTTACCTGAAAAAGTTGAGCCAGGGTTTTATAACAATATTTAAGTCTCTAAGTTAGCAAGTCCTTATTTTATCACTGTAAAAGTCACTCATGACTGGTTCATGATAATGTCTCTTTTATAGTATATATGTTCCTTTAGCCGGCCAACTGTAGCAGCCTTGTTCGGTATACACTGGGCCAGTCAACTGTAGCAACCTGGTTCGGTATACACTGGGCCGGTCAACTGTAGCAACCTGGTTTATTATACACTGGGCCGGTCAACTGTAGCAGCCTTGTTCGGCAAACACTGGGCCGGTCAACAGTAGCAGCCTTGTTTGGTAAGCACTGGGCCGGTCAACTGTAGCAACCTGGTTTAGTATACACTGGGCCGGTCAACTGTAGCAGCCTATTGGTTCGGTATACACTGGGCCGATCTACTGTAGCAGCCTTGTTTGGTATACACTGGGCCGGTCAACTGCAGCAACCTGGTTCGGTATACACTGGGCCGGTCAACTGTAGCAGCCTGGTTCAGTATACACTGAGCCGGTCAACTGTAGCAGTCTTTTGGTTCGGTATACACTGGGCCGGTCAACTGTAGCAGCCTGGTCCGGTATACACTGGGCCGGTAAAGTGTAGCAGCCTATTGGCTCGGTATACGCTGGGCCGGTCAACTGTGGCAGCTTATTGGTTCGGTATACACTGGATAAACTAGTAATCCTTCATTTATTGTCATGAAGGACGGAGTAGGGTCCAGCGGAGTGAGAGAAGGATAGAGAGAAGGAATAATATTCTTGATATATCCAATTCTGGACTAGCATTACACAGGTCTTTACTACATGTACACACCTAAAATTATAAATTATATTATTGCGTTTCACTGAAAACAATTTGAAACAATTTGAAAACAATTTTAGCGGCTAAATATTCAAATAGAGGTACAAGTACGTTTAGTACACCAAATTCAGTGAGATTAACGTGGTTTATTTCATGTCAAGGATATATTTTTTTTTAAACGCATTTTTTATCAAAAATTATGAAAACAGTATCTACTTGCTACATAAAATTATAAATTTAAGAATCAAATGAAGGAAATATTACTTGCCAGTAAACAAAATTGTCTTTTCCCTTAATGAGGTCTGTACAACCAGATTGTGTTAAACTTTTGTATTTAAAATTTTAATTATTTGAACTTACAGAATTCAAAGTCTGAAATATCAAAGGTCTACGACATCAGAGTTTAAAGATGGTAGGGTTAGAAAAAAGGTAGAAAACATTGTCATCCTCATACTATTCATTGCAATTATAATGCTGTATTAGAGATGTCAACGTTTGGACTTTTCTAATTTTATTTTAGCGTTTGTTACGATAAAACGTTTGTAACGTTACGTTGCACATTTTGAAATTGTATCTAGGATTCTTTCATTAGGAAGTGAAATATAGTTTTATAAAGGGCTTGTAGACTTAATTCCAAGTGAATATTTTTTAGAGCCAAGGGACAGCTGGATAACATATTATTGTAGTAAGATGGGGTACCATGTATTTTGGCCATGTTTATCAAAACAATTATCTAAAAAATTTTCCATTATTTTGGTTATTTCTGAACTTTAAATGGGAGCTGAAATACAAATATTAAGCCAAACAACAAGAGAATTTCAACTTGGTATTAAGTTTAATGCCGCAGTCAAAATTAAAATTCCATCAAGATATATCTCAACTTAACACGCCACGTCAAGTTGTAGTAATTTTTTTTAATAAAATATGAACAAAATAAAACATTCCATTAAAAGAGACTTAAAACATTTTTTTGATGTTCATAATTGGATTCACAGAGTGCTTCTTTAAAGATTATATTTTATAGACGACATAAAGAAAGTGTGTATTTTTTTTAAAAGTGTGTATTAAAGCTTATGGTTTTTTAAAGTGTGTAAAGCTTATTAATTTCAAAATGTGTATCAAAAAGTGTAAATTAAACATCTTACTTTGAAAAATGTAATCAGTCATTTCAAAATATGGTATATCCACTTTTATATTGAAATCAAGAAAGTTGTTAAATTGTGAAATTTTAGTTTTATTAAAGATATTTAGAACTTGTCAATCATATATAAAATGACGAGCATTTTCGGGTCTTTACATCGCTGGTCACTTGAGATAACGTTGGCACCGCCGCCATCTTTAATGCTTAAAGCACTTATGCATTAAAGGGTAATGTGACTTAAAAATGTGCATAAAAATACAACAAGTAATTAAACATGACGAGGACAACAATTCCCAATTTAAAACTGTTTTCTGAAATTCAAATTATAAAAAGAAGTTCTTTTTATATTAAAACCTTTCATCGCTTTCAAGACAATGTCAGGTTTTCAATTTAATCGAACATAGCCTGAATTTGAATCATTGTCGCGTTTTCGAGAAAAATTCCACTTTTCCGTTTTTGAGTATAATCCGCAGTACAAAACAATATTCACTTTCATAGATTACAAAATAAATTACTGAAAGTAAAAATTATCTTATGGAGGCTTAATTAACTGCTAAATTATTTCTAATTCTTAATTTCCCCATTTAATTTGTTAAATAATTGAGAATAAGTTGCTTTAATTTTAAGTTTATTTTTAAGTTACAACTAGCTTTCAGAGAAGCAACAACTAGGGCTTGCTAGGCACTTAAAAAAGTATTCAGAGATACAGGGTGAGAGAGAGAAAATGGCAAACTAAAGAAACTTCAACCAGGGGTGTATATCCCCGGTATACACCCCTGCTCACAAAAAGAAGAGAAAAAACGAAACTACAATTGTAATATTAAAGGCCATACATTCAGCTTTTAACGCTGTATTAACGCTGTATGGAGGTTTTTTTTATCTAGCTGGATTCATATTTTGCTAACGAGCCTGGTTAGTTGTTATAAAGCATCAATTTGTGTAATTTTATTATCAATTACACATCAGGTTATTTTTTGCATATTTAAAATGGTAAGGTCAAGGGATTTTTAAAAATGCATATTTTATATTTTTTTGGACATTTTTTTACTATATATATAACTGAATTTTTTCATATTTGGACTTCAAACATGAAATTTAGAAGGGGAGTTCCAACAGGTATAAGATTGAATTATAAAAGAACAGTCTTTTTTAAATTCTTTTATTTGTAATTATATTTTTTCCTTATCAAAAAACTTGTTTTGTTACGTAAGTGCGTAAATACTTGAAAATTGACATTGATATAAATTCGAGTAATTGTNAAATCCTGGGATTAGAAGAATATTTTAGACTAAAGTTGCGATCTCAGAGTATTTAGAGCAAGGTTGTTTATTGTGGTTGGATACTCCGATGAGCTCCAATGAACGGAAAATATCGTCTCCATGTCGGGAGGGAGCTAAGGAGCTTCGCTTGTCAGCTGTAAAAACCTTGGTTTAGAGAAACTTCCCAAGCCAAATAATGCAAAGAATTTTTTTATGTTGATGAACGTTTTAAGATTCGAAATGATTTAATAGGACCTCACTTTTTTTGCTTTTTTTTAGCTCACGAGGTAAAAAATATAATTTTCTGGAATTTAGGAAGGTGACTTGAGAAAGTACAAGATAAGGATTCAGCAATAACCAGAAATAGGAAGTCGACTTTCAGACTCAAGTTTTAACTTTAGATAGTCCAATAAACATGATAAACAGCAAATGTGCAGTGTAAACAGACCCATTTCACTTAGCAAGTGATATAATAACCTACTAGTAAAGCTATTTTTGTCGTAACAACATCAAATGTATTTTAGTTTTGATTTAATATCGTCTTCCTGTTCAACGATTTTCTTGTTATGGCTGTATAACAAGAATGAATAATTTGATGATTACGTAATAACTGAAATGATAAATATGTTATGTAATGAGTAATAATCAATGTTGTCTATTTGCATATTTTTCTCTCTTGTGTTGGAAACCTAGTTTCAAAAATTTAACAAATTTAAACTACACCGTTTATATATGTTATGTAATGAGTATTAATCAATGTTGTCTATTTGCATATTTTTCTCTCTTGTGTTGGAAACCTAGTTTCAAAAATTTAATAAAAATTTAAACTACACCGTTTATATATGTATTTATATCTTTGTGTGTGAATAAAGCTTTATAATCTTTATAATAATTTGGCTCGGACGTATGTTTCAAGCGGCAAGTACTCCCCCCTCTCTAGAAAGGCTGAAGTACTGAAAGGACTCTAATTTTAATCTATCAAAGTGACACATTCTAGAATCAAGGGTTATTACTGCTATGTTGTTATTATTTA